TGTCTAATATAGTCATATTACTATCAAATATAAAAGTAGTATGACGCCTAGTTAGCAATTATTTCGTGCTGTGCATATATCCCCATTAATTCAATCCAGATATTTTCTAAATTTTCTACCACGAATAAGTTTGTTTACCTTTGATATTTCACAGTTAATTCGTTCACAGTCTTACAGCGGAAATCCTTACAAAGTGTTTTTTTCCTGTGCTAGTTTTGAAGCATCTAAAACATCTAAATATTATTATTGAACCTAAATTAATTAAAAAAGACGAAAAGTGGTCTAGTGGGATCGGAATTTTACCTTCAGCTTACTCATTATACACATATGCAAAATAGGCAAGAAACTAAGAATCAGGTGAAATAAAAGACAAAGATGAAGACAGAATACGTCAGTCTACTCATGAGTAGTAGATTGACAAATTCATGATGAATATCGTTGGGAAAGTAGCAGAAGTTAGAATTGATAAGCCTTTGGATTCCGTTCCACTGACAGAATGGCCTGTAAGCTCGTCTTGTAACCTGAAAGTCGTGGATTCTTTCTTTGGATGTTTGCAGATGAAGGGTTCCCAAAAGGATTAAATAGCTGTCCAGTATTCACTGGTTCTCCGAATGAAATCTATTTGTGTTCAAAATTTGAAAGTTAGTGTCTAACAAGGATGGTACGTGATATTGGAAAAGTATCTGTAAAATGAACATCTCGAAAAACTCTCAATTACTTAGATCTTTTCTGTTCTTTTAATATATCTGCTTCTAAAGCTACAGATAGACTACTGATCTCATTTGGATGATAACATAGCCAGGATACTAGTCACATTTTGATTTATTTTGAAATGATTTACTGTTCAAATGTCTTTGTTCAGTAACGTAATTGTTTACCTGTCTAATGACTTTGTAATGTCATAGTCTACAAGGATGAGATGAATGTATACAAGTCAGTTGTAATTTCTTATCCCCATGTTAAGTGATAAGAGTGTAGATAGACACTGATGAAGATCTGCAGCTCTCTCAGCTATTGATAACTAGAGTGCACGGATTTTATTCTTTGGAATTGTACTTTTAAGCGTGAAACGAACTTTAATGGCGAATTCATTTATTATAGATTTACAACCACATTTATATGCCACATGTTTCATGAATATGTCCAATACTTTTATAGATTTAGCAATAAATTCACTGCTTAATGATGTCAGTGCCGTAAATCCCATCAGGCCAGATGATGAAGGACACACGATCGAATATGAAGGTTTAGAAAATATACCTGCAGTGATAAATAATTCACTCTCCTGCCTCCCTACAATATTCCTCACTCAGCATTCTACTCTGACGTCCAGTGCTTAAGTCGACTGGTCAAGCTGAAGGCTCACGGTCAAGTATCCACTCCAGTTGGCACACCGTTGTGTTACATTCGGTCGTTTGTGCACGGTCGTTGGCTGGTTAAACAGCCAATATCACACTATGATATTGATCCCGTAATATATCTCGTATTTTGGAGAATCAAACTCGTGTGTTTTGATTTATCTTTGGTTTAGGCATAACAATTACTGTAGGAGTTGGAGGGTAATAACTTGTGATTGTGTCCATCGTAATTTGCGTAAACGCCAGTATTCCTTCTTCTCCTGAGTACTTGATCAATTTCCATAATTATCCTAAGCCGCGATTATCTGTTAAGGTGAAAAATGTATTAACTGGACAGGGATGATCGCTGCCAATGTCAGGTAACCTTACGATTAGTAGTTTTCTTCTTGGTTTAATAATGCTTCTAAATAAACAGTCAATAACAGACTAAGAGTGTTAACATTTATCTATCAGTAAAACTTTCCACTAACTGGTTTTTGTAGCTACTGAAGAAGTGAGTCAAGACTTAGTGGAAACGTTATTCGATTGTCAACTTTTACCTTCCCTACAGTACCATATTCGTAATTTTCTGCTTCTTTGACGTTATCTGCTTTTGTCATTTTATGGTGTCATTCAGGTGAAATTGAGGGAAATTTTTAAAAAAATGTTTCCTCGTGTTTCCACAGATGAACGTGAAATGAAGTGATTATCAGCCTGACTGATTGAATTCCATGAGTAGACCGGGAAAAGACTAGAGCTGAGCGTCAATTTGCTTGTAAATTAAATTACATCAGGAATTTAATTGTCTAGTGGTATCTTGTACTCATCAGCAAGGTGTAAATATCGCTGACATCCAACACATTATTAACTTTAATTCGGTGTCAGATTACTTCTTAATCTGAGAAAAATGACACTTTTACTCAGAATTAGAGGCTGGAAATCAGTCACCTGGAAGTCGTAAATTCAATGCTTGTTAATATTTACTGATTGGCGTAGACTGGAAAATGAAACATATAGTGGGCCGGGCAGCGAGGAAACAGGCATAAAATGGACCCACACAAAATCTTGGAGGATCTGGATTTCACCGATGATATATGTCTGGTTTCCTACAAACTGGAAGAGATGCAAGTGAAAATCAACAAGTTGGGAGAAGAAGCATCCAGAGAAGAGAGACCTTGCTTCAGATGAACACAGAAGTTGTATCAGAGGTGATTAAGATTCCTGGCCAACATCAACAGCCACAGCAACAACAACAACAGACAACAATCAACATAAATGGGAGAAATCTGAAAGAAGCAGCCTCCTTCACTTCCTTCCTACCTACCTGGGAAGCATCGTTTCAACTACAGGTGGACTGAACTGATAAGGATATCAAGACAGTGAGGATCGGGAGAGAAAGGCAAGCTTTCATTTCTCTTAAGTCTGTGTGGAGGTCAACAGCACTCAGCATGAAAACAAGACCAGGATTTTCAACTCCAATGTGAAGTCAGTGCTGATTTATGGATCAGAGACGGCGCATCATGAAGTGCACCACAAATAAACTACAGACCTTGTCGACAGCTGTCTTCGCTCAATACTTAAGATGAAATGGCTGACTAGAAAAGATCAGGAACAGGGATCTCTGTGGGGGAACCGACCAGGAACCGATTGTGCTGCAAAAATATAGGGAAAAATGGAGGTGGATTGGCCACAGTCTGAGAAAACAAACCATCGAGTGACATCACACGCCAGACCATCGCTTGAGTGGAACCTGAACGGGAAGCGGAGAGTTGGTCGTCAGTGCGTTGGTGACTTGGAGGAGGCCATGTGAAAATGTTGTTGGAGAACCAAACTCAGTGGAGACGTGCGGCTGAAGCCCTATGTTCCTCTAGGAACTAAAGGAAGCAATAATAACAATAACATTTACTGATACTGCGCATCTGCAGCCAAGAGATATTTAACGTTGTCACCAAGATTAAATTCCAATTCAACCAAAGATATCTCATATCTCCATATATCACGACTGAATCACACTGTAGGACAAAATGAATGGACGGAAATCAAGTATTGGACGATAAGTAATGTAAGTTATTAGTATCTATCAACAATTACCAGTCACATTGGCGATGTAATTACTAAGTTAACTTGAATGACACTGGGATAAAATCAGGAAGGCTTAACATCTCAGGCGTCAACAGACAGGTGAAATATCACAATTATGTTTAGCGGCTTTTCATCGCATTGCACACTTGATGAATAGATTTCAGTCATCATTGAGAACTAAACAGGTGCATCCATTGTCTTTTAGAAAATATTCCAAATGCATCTTCTCTACAATATGACGAAATTTAATTTTCCGTAAAATGAATTTAATCAGTGTATCAGCAAATCTCTTTCTCAAGAAGAGATACACAAGGCTTCAGTAGTGACTTGCGTGAACAAATTTTTGAATATTTAAGTTTATTCAGTGAGTCAAATAAAAGTCTTGCCTAGCAGTTGATTATTTGTTTGTTTGTAACAAAAAGAATTTCCGGGAAAGAACACATCCAATGGTTGTATATGTTAGGAGATTCTTATTCAGTATCACTTCTAACATTGCCTATCTTACGGATTTCTCAGTTTGCTAGCCTGTGGTAAGCTTCGAGAAAGAGAGAAGCTTGGATGTGAGGCTGACGGCCCTACCCTGGAAAACTAATCCGATCGATACGGAAAGTCGGAAGCATGGAAATAGTACAGAAGAACTTACTCCTCGCTCGAGTTGAGGAGGTGGATTGACGCGGGCTTCTGTAATACCTCTGGAAGCCACTTAGCTGATATGCATTCTTTCAATGGATTTGAAAGAAGCCACAGGAATATTGAATACACACACGATGTTCTAAGCTGGCCATCACGACCGCTTAGGTCACAAAATAAGTGACAAGATATGATATGGAAGGTTTAGGAATTTGTGAGAACAGGAGAAATGGAAGTGAAGTTTCCAAATTTTGAGCTAGAGAGTCCATAATCTAAGTTAGCCGTCGATACGATAACTACCTGGACATTTAGCATATGGCCATAATGACGTCACCAACAGCATAGAAGACACTTTTGCAATGGAAATCAGTCTCCTCCAGAATAATGTCATCAGGATTCAACTCGAAAGAAACCTAACAATTCCCGGGATTAAGCTGTGACAAAGTGCATCAGAAACGGGATATGTAAACCTGATTTTCCAGTAAAGCTTCGTTTATTTTTTTGAAATAGTGTATATATTCTTTGAAAAAGAAATATAAATTTCATTTATCTCCTTAGCGTTGTATTTATAGATTAACCATTTTAAACCATTATGCCATCCTCCTAATGACTGCAACAACCAGAACTGACGTGTTATGATCTGAACGCTGGAAACCATTCATTGTTTTATACTGCATAGCTTCCTAAACCTAAACAAGCCCACTCTGATTTACTCTGATCGTCGTCCTTTTCACTGAATCACTTGTCTTTTGAACCACTATTCCCACAGCTGAGTTATTCACAGACTACATCACTGAATGAGCGATAAGAAATTTGTCTGTTATCTGATTGATATAAGACTCAGTTCTTCTAATTACTTTTACTTCATCTCTCTTCTTCATTAACTAGTGATCACTGAAGATATTCTATTTGATGCATCGTATAGGAAATAGAGTAGAACAAAACACTCTGTTTCATTTCAGAAAAGGTGTCTATTTACTACTTATGCATATATATGTATATATATCTAGTTAACTAAAGAATACAACCGTCATTTTCTTGTCATCATTCAATTATTGATATTGTTCACTTAGGTGTGTATACGATGATTTGAGTGTGATTAAGGACGCGGTGGTCTGGTAGGCGCCATCATGGGTTTCTGTGTAGCTTTTACTAGTGGACGTTTTGTTGTTGTTCGTGGTGGTGTTGTAGTGGTTGTTGTAAACATTTGTTTTAAGTTTGCACTTGCAAGTTTGTCATACTGTTGTTGAATGTATGATGCTTGTTCAATTAATGTTCGATACTGACATAAATCTCTGTAATAAATCAGTACTTGTTGGAAGTCAGCTCCTTGAGTATCAGTCTGAATATCTGTTAAAATGAAAATAAAATATGTGTAAAATAAAATTGCACTAAGCGAAATCTCTTTTCTATTGATGCATATGTATAATGAAAGCAGTATGACGTGACGGTGGTGGGAGGAGGAAAGAATTACCCAGACTGCATCACATTCGAGTGATGTAAAAATTAAGGGTGAAATATACATGACGGCAGAGAAATAATGTTCTAATACTGCATATTATAATAAACTCCTCAGCTGTCCTCACCTTAAGAGTGTTGCTTCACTTTACTAAACAAACTTTATTCAAAGCTCCATTTTTACGCTTAGTTACTGTGTGAATACACAAACCAGGAATGCTAAGAAAGTAATGATTGACTTTAGGACAAAGCATGAGTCTTGAGAAGATTTTAATTGATGTCATTTATGTTATCGATCTTCTGATCTAATAGTTGTGTGGTGAGATACAACAATAGATCACCTCTAAACTCCAACTTCGATTGATGAACACAAGTCATCTGAAATAATCAAACCGGAAACTGAAAATACCATACTGTGTGAGGGAATCTCTCACTTCAGTTGGATAAGCTTAACAACTAATATGAATATGAAGAAACTGTTTATTTGTTATGCATACAACTGGTTGGCAATAAGGTTTATTTACTAAGTATGGAAGGTGTCCACTTCTCATGAAGATGTAACTTCTTCACTGAAATATTTCACTTTCAGTCAGGAGATTTCGAGGTCGAATATCGCTCCACCTACTTCAGCCTGAGCAACTAGATGAAATCATCAGTACTGATACTTGAGAAAAATCTATTCCGGGTCTCTCACACATCAAATAATAATGCCCTCCGTGTTACACTGTGTTCTAGTATTATGCCTTGAGAATGATTCGGAAGATGTTTTACTCAATCTAAATTGTATGCTTGTTAGCAATAAGTCAACAACAGACGTCAGGGTTTCTCACACTTCTACTTGTGAGTCCCATTGATCCAGTACACTCTATGGAGATGACCAATAAATGACCAGTAACACTTGAAATAATAAATAATCTAAGATGGCCAATAGTTCACAAAGAACATGATGGTGAAACAGATACTCATAAAGGTTGATATTTGAGCAAACTGAATCAGATAAAATGAACTAGGCAGAGAAAATTACTGTGAACACAAAATACTACTTACAAAGTTTCGCATTCAGCTTAGCTTCAGCAGTACAACAGTCTTCTACATTTTCAAGATTACATTGAGATTGTGATTGACTGTATACAGCATGAATATAGAAGCTAAGGATTAAGAGGAAACTTTTCGACATGTACATCTGAGGGAAATTAGTTGAAATGAAACAAAAATGAGTAATGAATGACACAATCCATTAAAACGATATATATATATATATATATATATAAATGAGCTTAAATTAAAATTGAAATTTACCTCCAAAAAGTACTTGAAGATGTATTTAATATTTCTAAACCAGGAAGATGTTATTGGAAATGTACTCGTGTTTACACTGTCTATCGAAATAAAAGTATCTGGTGTTATTTCACCAATTTATAGCATAAAACAACCAATCATTGAAGCACAAAACCAACTGACCAATCAAATAGCACATCATCTTGATCCCTATTAGTTATAGCAAGCTGAAGATGAAGGGAGACTTTGTTTATGAAGCATTTTTAATATCTTGTCTGTATGTCGACTTGAGGTAGAAAATATAAATTGAGACACGCACCTACATATGCATGAATGGGTATACACACAAGCGAGAATCACTTGAAAGTAGTACATTTAATTATTTGAACATGATGATTGTTAAATAATGTTTGATAAATATGGTCGGGATTCGATCCCCGGCTGACGAACTCCTAAATCTCACTTAACTGATAGTAAGCCTATTAAATATGGTAGATTGGGCAGGCAAGTAATAACGGGATCCCGGAAAATCGACTCCACCACTACTGAAACTTCAAATCTCAGGCGTGAAGCCCTGTTCCACTGGGAAAGCATAGGAAACAGTGAACATCATGAGGCGAAACGAAGATATGAATTAATGCTAGTGACAATATGCTTGCTATCTAGGCTTAAAGACTTGGAAGAAACAACAGAAAAGTTTGCAATTCAACCAGTAGACATCAAAAGATCACTACTTCTGCATATATATGGTTAAGTGTGGAAGGTGTTAAAATAATTCACGAAAAGAAGTGAATCATGCTTGAAAGTGATTTTTGGGGAAACAAAGCGAAGGTGACATGACTTGATTGGTAATAGAAATTCTCAGAATAGTATTAAATAATTCATATTAATGTTTTCTGAGACAGAACGCTCTCTGATGTGTCAATCGATTCAACTCTGCTTACTGTATTGATAAGATTTGAATATGATCTGGAAAATGAATGTGATGAACTTTATAATCCCCCTCTTAAGACATGTACATTATTGTTATTGTTCGCTTGGTTTCCGTTCGGAAGAGCGCATGACTTCAGCAGGACATCTGTCTTTCATTTTGAAGTGTTATTTTTAGCTAGCTCCTTGATAATCCATAAGCATTCCTATCCTCCTACACAAGATTTCTATGTTAAGAGATGATTGATTGTGCCGGAATTTGTAGCTTCAGTAGTCAGGGGCCTAGATTCTGGTTTCACAAGTTTGATAGTTTCAAGAAGCACAAAATCATTTTGGTGACTAACTGCTAGTAATCTATAGGATCGTCTTAAGATACTTGTTAGATAGACGCTGATGTGAAGATAGGAATATGTCTTCACACCTGATAGTCGATGGTGAGTAATTTATATACAAATTGCAAGCGGATATTGATTGATCGACTACAAACTTTTTAATCCAATATCCTCTTATTTTTCTTAAGGGAGAAAAGTGAAATTGTCACGTAGTATCTTTTCAGTATATCTATTTTTAAATAATTATAACAATCACTATCACCAACCACGCACGTGGTCCGGAGTTCGATTCCCGGTCCATGCACTTCGTTACCTCGCTAAGTCGGTAATATTCCTAGTAAAGAGGGAAGGTTGGGCATGAGGCTAATAACCCCATCCCGTAAAAGTAAACACTGCTGCAGAAATTTCAAAATTCCAGCTTGAAGCTCTATGTTCCACTGGGAAGGTAAAGGAATATAAAAAGTCACTAACTGATCATCAATTTATTTTCGCAATCATCATTCTCTGTTCATCGACATTTGAGCTAACAGGTAAGAGAAACATGACACTAAGGTGCATATTTGTGTGACTGGTTGAAGGATTTCATTAGGGGCTGACTTCAGTTGGAGGACCATTGGAAAACCTGGGAGCACTGGATAGCTGTTTCGTCCTAGTTTGGGACTCTTCATCAGCACGCACCCACCACAGGGTTTCGAACCCAGGATCTTCTGGTTGCAAGGCGAGTTCGTAGACCACTAAGCCACTGGGGCCCGATCCAATGGCCAGTCCACGAGTTCTAACTTCTTCCAATTCATGACATAGCTCGACCGATTCGCTTTTATACTTGCACATTATTTGGACTAGTGAATTTTTGTTCCGCGAAAAATTGTTTCTTTTGAAAATCGTATTATCTTTAAACTTGTGATTTATTTTTCTGGAAGATTTTTCATTTTGGTCTTCATCATAACAAAACTTATTTAAGTCAATTCAAACTGTATAAATCAAAAGAAGCAGTTAACCAATTCCTAAAGTTTGATCATGTGTTTATGTCACTTAGCGAACCACTAGAACCCAGAGAGTGGCAGACAGCTGTTTCATCCTAGTTTGGGATTCTTGAGCAGTATGCATACACGACCTAACTTGGGAACGAACTAAAGGCCATCAGGTTACGAATTTAATCTCGTTGATCATTTAGCCCATGAATTCTAACTTCTGTCAATCTTTAAATTTAGCGTCACAGCTAGCCAATATCATCGAACACATGACCTTTCGGTTAAAGGACAAGCTCGTATACCATTCAGCCACCGGGTCCCGATTCAGTGGCAAGTTCATGAATTCTAACTTCTAGCGATTCGTGAATTTAGCGTGACCACCAACCAATGTCTGATATTATTAAGGTCTACAATTATTCTTAAAGTTTGTATAGAGTTAGATTTTCATTCACCATGGTATTATAATATATCTTTTATCAAAAAAATTATTTTTGTTTTACTTTTCAAATGACATATGTTGTCATGACAATACAGCATTTTCTATAGGATAAAAGAAACGTTTCTTCTTGCTTCTTTCTCGCAGTAGGACAATATATAACCTAAAAGAGTAAATTTGCTAAATGATAAAATGGAACAAATGAATGAATAAAATAATTCACAGTTATAACACAATAGCAGCATCAACTGGTTTGGGGTTACAATGGAACTGAATGAATTAAAAATGAGGAAAAGCCTAACTTTGTTTTAAGTTAGCCTAACCCATCTTTTGTTTAATAAACTTGATTGTTGTCTGTTTGAGAAATGCTAAGTCATTAATTTATTCATAAAGAGGTTACAAAGTGTGTAACCTGGATACTTTAACACAATAAACCAGTGGGGACGTGTAACCTCAAAGTAAAAGTGTTAAATAACTGTCATAATTATTGTCAAATTCTTGAAAGGTAAGTCACTTTAAAACGAATCATAGTGTTAAAGGTGGAAGACAGACAGGAGACTTGTTAAAGGAATGTTTCTCTGGCATTCCGTATCCCCATGTATAGAAATTATGTACACCTTATCTTCAGCGCACCATTCACACAGATCTTCTGTGTTGTGCTAGTTCTGCCCTTCGTATTGTGTGTCTTCGTCTTCCTTTTCACGTCTCCCATGTATCTCCACAACGCTGAATCATTTGCTTTCTTTGATGTCAAATCGATCTCCCTGCTATTTTATATTTTCTTATGCCGATGAACATCTCTTTACATACTACTGATAAATCTTTTCAGTACTACACGCCACAATGGAACTTTATTCGGTACTTTATATTGTTGGTTATTTAATAAGCTAATGGAGTCTAAATATTAATAAGTCTAATTTAGTACTTATATGAAATCCCCTTTTATAAGAAGACTATTTTTTGGGCAGTAAAATATTTTGAGACGAGGTTTTCAGAAGTCATTTCCTCGGTAAAACAAATGACGAAAACATAAATGATGGGTACATAACAGAGCTTTTCTAACTAATGAAAAATATCCTCGTTAATATATGACATCTTAGAGATTAGTGGTACATCTAAAAAAAATCTTTCACCTATTTCAGTCTACTAACCCAAATGTATGTAGAAACTGTTGACAAATCAAACACAAACAAATTTACTCATTAACTTGTTGACTTTAAAGTAGACGATCTACTTTATTTTGATCGCTACTTATTAACTTCTGTGGACTTGATAAGAATGGTGTCCATGGTGCATAGAGCTAGACAGTCAACTTATAACCAGTGGGAAATGATTTCCAACAATTTGCAGGCTTTTATCAGCAGTTGGCTTCTAAGTGGTCAGAAATAATTAACAACAAGGAACTTTGAGGACAAACCAAACAAGAACCTTTGGCTCAACAATTATGTCAGAGGAAATAGAGGTGGATCGGAAATGCGCTGAGGAGACGATTCAGTGACATCTAGCACCCGGCCTCCAAGGGTGACATGAGGGAGATCGTGTGAGGAGGAAATGAAGGCTTATGGGCGATCGTGGAGCCAGCTGGAGGTGTCTATAAAGAACAGGGTGAAATGCAGATTTATTTATTTTATTTTTTTATTTTTGATTACAGCTTGATGCCACACCGTATTTTCAGTACAAGTATGGAATTTTCAGCATGGATATCGGTAGCCCAAATTTTGCAGGCCGACCATAGATATCGGGTGTGCGTCGGCAGGGGATCGAAATCCGGACCATATGCATGGTCGGCGGGAGTCCTAACCACTGTGCCACCGACGCACAGATGTGCTGTTGAAGCCTTATGCTCCAGTCGGAACTATGGGAAATATGTTCAAACAATGCTGTACCTATCGAAGTTTCGATTGCCAAGTAATTTCTTCCAATTGTCGCACAACAGGTGAGGAGAACCTTCACCAAGTACGTTACTGACTATATGTTTTCCAACTGTAAACCATAAAATAAACACGTACAAAAAATCACTTCAAACGGCGGCAAATTATTGTACAACAAAATTTGAGTGTTTAATTGGTGGATGGTGACTAACAGTGGAATCCAGGATGCGCATTTCGTCCTATTCGGGACCCGTCATCTGGATGTACCTGCATTTCTCAGTGAGTGATGATTAATTAATTAACCAATTAAATACAAATTAAATGCCCAGACATCGTCGAAGCATCTGCACAAGAAGCCGACAGGTCAACCTGAGACCGAGCACTTCGGTCCACTCAATCGACGGGAAAATCTAAAAAAATTCAATTAAAAAGTTGAGTGTACTGATTGTGAAGCAAAATCAATCAATGTAGAGATTTTAATTAGGTAATACTAGGTTGGATTAAAAAGAGTAACAACCGGTCAGCAAGGAGTCTATCTTCTTAAATACTACTGATTTTCTTAGAGGAAACAAAAATCTAGTTGTAGTCGTTGAGATAAAGATCACAATAAATAATCTCTTGAAATATTTTTGTTTCTGGAATGCACTTGAATGGTACAACTTTTAGAAGTTATTGCCAGCAAATATAAGGCGGCTTAAAGGGTAAAACTCTGACAATATTTTTCTGACTGTCTAGACTATTCTTTGAATTGATAGAATATTCATAAAAATACACCAAAAGTATTAAAGAATGCGTTGTTCATTATTAACTCAGAAATATACCTGGTAGTAATAGTATCACCAATATACTATTGATTGATTTGAGTGGCTGGACACCATTTACATAAACCACCAATAGTTACTAGTCAGATGGCTAGGCGGTTATCCCGCTTGTTTGGGGGCAGAGCTCATCAGCGGAGTACCGGATGTGATTCAGCTTAGAGGACCGAGTAAGATCAAACCACTCGAATTCTGGCTATCTACTTGGACGAACTTATGGTGCGTTGAGTCAAATTCGTGATCTGCACATTTCGAGGTGAGATTTGTCTAATTTCCTTTGGAAACCAAAATAACTCAGACCATACACAATATGTGATCTCCTTGATAACATAAATGGCAGATCAGTTATCGAATCCATCATCTCGTCACATTTGCAATTCATTCATATTTTGATGCTCCATTGTCTGTGATGATTAACTATGGAAACAGCGAATCAAACCTAAAATTTCGGATAATATCCACAGAAATTAAGACAAAGATGATCTCATTCCTAATAAATTACAATAACTTTCACATCAGAAACTTCACGAAAATACTTGTCAGTTGTATATTGTTCGCCTAAATTTTGAGAGACTTTCCTGAATTATTACGGTACTACTTAGATAAATTTAAGTAACATAGGGCGTTCAGTTGATATTTTGTCGACACAACTCAATGATCGTTTAGAATTAACTGAGTGAGAATGTTTCAGCTTTCTGAGCTGCGTCCATTTCACTACACTACTTATGAGTTTGACTCAAAAACGACACCTGGGGTTTATGTCAACTCAGTTTAGCTGTGAGATACAAGTGGTTATCGTCAGTGCTTCCAGCTACTCATCTTATTAAATAGTAATATACAAAATCTAACTATTTTGTTTGCTTTTTTTTACTGTCATTAGTGGTATCAAACAGAACACATATTGCGACTTGAACGTGATGACTTCCCCACGGAAATCGAGGAGATGTGTAACATGCAAATGATGAATATAACTTGATCTTCTGAAGTCCAAAAAGAATTTTTTCACGATAACAGTGACTTCCATTTCTGTTTTCAAGTTGGCGATGGCTTCACTAGGAGATTTATGCTAAGTTTAATTTCGAAACTAGCAGTTTCTAAATGTATTAACTGGAATTTAATACTATCCTCAGATCATTTATCGCCCACTCGAAACCTCATATAAGTGGAAATGACAACTTTAAAAAAATAACTTGATATATCAGAGATCCGCATCTCCTCAAGTTTATTAATTACTTTGACGACATAGTCAGGATTCGATGGATCTTTTGTGATGAATAGTCTACATCCTTTTCTTGTAAGATTGATAAATAATTCTAAATTCGGTTATACTTTATGTACCAAATACCTTAAAGTATTCAGTGTACAGTTGTCAATCTCATTCTAACGTATATCGGTATGCCTTAACCAAATTTTAACAATCATCCAACAGCACTGTTACAATTAAGCTCCTTTTTGGGTAATATCAATGAACATCTCAAACTAAACAGGATTCACTAGGCTTGAAATACTTATGCTCTTAATTTACGAACTTGTAATTTTTACACTGTTGTGTCATTATCTGTTCAAATTTCACGTACGTACACATATACACATGTAAACCAAACTTATTCATATATATGTACTTTAGTATTTGAATTATAAGTGGCATTACTTCACAACTAAAATTCAACTTTATAAAACTTTTCCTGTTGGTTTTTATTTCATGAGGATGTTAAGTCTATGCTAATATAACACATACTGTTTTACTTTACAACTAGACGTCCTTAACTCCTGGATTGCATTGCATTACTAGCTAATAGTAGTATTCAAGGAATAAAGGAAACTTGAACAATTTACATATATTGCCATTCATTTTTGCCTAATCTCATAGTCTGCAGTTTAAGTAGTTTTACATTCTTCTGAAGTACATTGACTTCATGTCCTCGTTAAACGACACAACTCTCTTTGTTCAGAGTCAAAAGAGAAGTGGAAACAGTTATTTACATATAACTCTTTCTCTCTCTTTTGATGGTTAACCGATCTATCTTGTTCAAATTGTTATTCATGCTTTGTTCAAAACGTTAACTGTTCAATATGCTAGAACCAGCTACTCATAGAGAGGTACACTTATCATAAAGCATTCCTTCAATTTTCAGTTCTAGCTACCCTCATATCATCTTCCAAACTATTTCAGAATGAAACAGTATTTGGGATATCGTCAGGTGAAATATTGGACAATAATGAATATAACAACTCCAGTTGATAATGGATTAATCTACATATTTCCTGACTGATGAAACTTTAAGCTCTGTAGTGATTAGAAACGAAGCTTTACAGTATAGGTAGGGCGATGAAATGAATCAATACAGTATCATCCTCTGGAATGTTTTAAATTTTCATCGCTGTTTTAACTTATTATCTCACCCTGACTTATGATTTCGCTCCCTTTTCTTTGACTCTTATTGTTTTCTGCTTTACTACTTAGATGTAAAATACCGCAGTTCCCAAACAATACACAACTGAGCAACAGTATATGTTATCAATGTTGGTGTGTCCCTATTGAAAACAATTAAAACTTGTGAAAAAAAGATGATAGAATCTTGTACAACTTTCATGACTTAAAAAGATTTTCAAGTGAAGGAAAATATTCAGATAAACAAGTATCTTTATTTACTGCCTTGAAATTTACATTAAGCAAACCAGACTGCTCACTAAAACGTCAGAGTTATTTAGTTGAAGTGTAGATTACAAGAAAAGAAATGAAATCATAACCACATAATGATTAGGTTATACAGCAATCGTCTAAGGACAGCATTTACTAAGAAGATGTATTTCTACATAAATGAAAGAATTATGTACAGAATGTTAAATACAGTGTTCGGAGATTTCGAATTTTATTTATATTTAAGTCTAACAAAAGAGAAAAGTGGTAAGTTTGTACAGTGTAAATTAGTGGTATTTTACAGTGCCCCAATCTAAATAGTATGGGCTAATAAAACTGCGACAACCTGCATAGTTATGCGCTAATGCATACCCCGGTTGATAAAAAGGATTAACATTTTTCTCTTTAATATATGCTTTTATTTGGGACTCAGCGTCCAGAAGATCCTGAGAAATGTACCTAGCATGAAATGGCAACTTGTCGGCGGCACGACTCAAAATACGATAAGCTTCCCTCCAATCCAAGTATCCCCCAAGTTCAACAACAATTCTTTCCGCCTTGACTGGAGTAACGTAGTGATGAATGTTAGCTGAAAGCAAATATACATAAAACTCCCGTAAATCTAATTAGTGATTAAAAACTAACATTTAATAGAAATAATTTTGACGGAAGGATATCAATTATGCGAAAACATTGTTAACTGGTAAGTGTATTTACCTTTGCCACCGCCCTTCCTTTTTCCTTGTGACCGACGAGTTATTGGCTTCCATGGTGCCTCAACTCCCCATACAGCAAACATGCGTTTTTCATCCAGAGCTTTGTTGATTGCAATTCGCATCATCTCAAAATGGCCAAACTGAAGCTCACCACCCTCCATTGCCTAGAATAAAGCGTGATTTGGAATAATTATTACCCTTTATTCCATATGAAGACCAATTAAACTATTCAACTTTTGGAAAAATTGGACCACATTATTTCTGCTTATCAGACAGAAATCACCCAACTGACGTTAAGCAGTTTTACACCAAGTTCTACCAAGCGAATAAAATTCCCAGGGAACATTAAAAGCAAAATATGTCTTGTATGATGTATTCATCTGTGCAGAAAGTGTCACTGACTAAATAGTACACATCATTGGCTTGTAGAATTCTTTCGTTGCTATTAGAAATAATCCATGTGAACAGCAAAATTAAAAGAACCACAAAACAAAAAATCTTAGGCAAAGGAAATGCATTTTATTGTGGTAAATTTCAAAACAGCACGAAAAACAGAATACTATGATGGACAAAAATGGGAAAGACAAAAAAATTGAGTGAAGACTAGCAAACATTCCTATAATCTGAAAACTAACAAGGAATGAATAACTTTTGGCTACTGTGGTCGATTAGGCGTCATCTCAGCCGCTGAATCTTAGGGTCTCAGGCAACCAAGACACGCAATCTACACTTTAAGATTTCACAGATTGATACCACACTCTGTTCTGACCATCCGACTTCTTGTCATTCTCATACTAATCCGGCAAGCAGCATCTCCAAGGCGGTAGCTCGGCATACATGGCATAATCGTAGTCATTCAATTAATTCGGCTATTACGGCCTATGGGTCAAATTACTATTCTTCCCTATCATATTACCCCTAACTCCATTATTGTGGAGCTGTGGCTCATTGGTTTAGGCGCTCAACTTGCAGAGTGGCTTATGGGTTCGAGGCCTGCGCGAACAGGTAGTATCACTAGTCATCCCACAATAGGTGTGGGTCATTGTCAACTGCAGGTGGTTCTTTATTAACACTTTTATTAGATTATTACTTGGTATTCCTCCTGACACCACAAATTCGAAAGATATATGTCGGTCCCTTATGGGTAAATTTTATTTTGATAGAGTCTCACAGTGTTATACAGTAATATTAACAGTAAATATTACTGTATAACACTGTGAGACTCTATCAAAATAAAATTTACCCATAATGGAATTACACTCTACCACAGTGCCCAAGTTTTATTCTTATATCAATATATGTCGGTCCTCTGGTGATTTCCATTCAAACATGCACTGACTTTAGTACGGACAAAAAGTGAAAATGACTTTTATGAACTGTTTAATTTACTACAAAGAAGCAAAACGCTCAGATTTAGTCACACTAGTAGGCGGTTTTACTGCTTAGGAGAATTGATGATGTTTGAAAAATATAGTACGGGTATTTACAAAACAGCATGCTGACAAATCGATAAATTTGAATGTCCATGACAACCCCGTCGCTTACAAGCTTTTCATTTAAAGATATTGCCTTTAATGCTTGCTGACATTGGGAGAAAGGCGGCCACAGATGGACTACTATGCATTATGCTATAGAAGAAGAGGATCAGTGGCCACTTGCTCTAAAACATCGATACGGATTTTAACTGTAGATTAGTTCGTGCATGTTTATGTCTATGGCTGAATAAATGAGCAACAAGCATCCCCTGATATTTGCTTGTAACGACTGGGATAAGAAAAATAATTTTTGAGTGACCATTTCTGAGACACTGGATTTTGGTATTTTTTATGAACATGGGTAAAGGGAGAGTAGCATTCCGCTCAAAATCATTTACCGTGGGGTATTTCCGCAAATGATATGGAGAACGTGGGAAAGGTAGGCAACTGAATTTCCAGATGGGGAAATGTGTCACTATGGGAAAATGCAGAAAGTGAGTGTTTCACGTAGTATTTTACCCACGTCATATTCGATTAAAACAGCAAAAATTTTCCACTTTTGCATGTGCATTATACCACAGGGTTATTTGTAGATTTCAGTGAAAACCACAGCATTACATTCCTAACTAGGTTTTCAAACTACTAATGAGTGAAATCTAGCATTCCAAAACAAAGCTCATACGCCCATAGCTACAACAAGTGTGGGAATATCTGATAAGCTTAGACTGGAAACCAGCCACATTCTAGATTGTACGGACATTTTCACAGACCTATGTATTCCTAATTGTACGGTTAAGTCTACGGGACCAGCTATTAGGAGTTAAGCTACACTACAACAAGTGAAAATTTAGAACACTACATTATGTCACTAATTGGAAACATTGACTTATATGAAGATTAGACCAGTACGCCCAACTTACCTGTATTCCATACTGACGATAAATCAGTTTATTAAGTACCGTTTCCGGCCCTCTACTGTCATTCTTTTGCCTTGTATATTTAACTGGCTTGCCAGAAGTATTAGAGAGAGGCTGACGACTGACTGGAGGTAAACGCCTTCTGTCCGGAGGAAATTCCATTTCACTAAGTTCCCCTAATTCATGATAATAGATATCTGGATGATATTCCGAATATGGTAATTGAGAACGGCCGGTAGCCATGCTCCTGAAGTTCGCAATCGTAAGAACAGCCCGTTTCAATATGTTGCTCACATTATTTTGAATCATCATCACACCGCTACATCCAAAACGTGCGGACTAACTGTCCAACACCAACTTCTTAGATTCCAATATCCAATATCCTTTCTGTGAGCTAGCATAAACCGAAGTGACTTCTTTGTTGTAGAATGGACGTTTTCTGGTCTTCGGCGAAATTCTGCGTGATGCGTCCCTCGATACGACTGTGGCAGCTTTGGTTAACTCTAATGGGTCGGGTGATGGGGTTAGTAGTATGCGATGTGTCAAGACAGTGTCACTACTCTGAATGGACCTGATTATCCATCCGTTAGTCATCCGGGGTGGTCGTAAAGAGACATAATAATAGATAACATTAGTTTAGACTATAGAGACTTAGAAACTAACAGAAAAACGTACAAACAGATAGATGATGAAATATGTAATTAAAAAACACTTAAACGTAAAAGCAGTAATAAAAAAATAAATGGATTCATAGATAGAATGGTCAGGAGAGTAAGGTACGGAATAATGATATCTTCTAAGTAGCAAGAAGGGGCAATTATATAGCGAATTTCCACATACAGTCTTACGAATGTTTTTACACCTCTAGAAAAGACCTAGTAGTGAGTGCACCTAACTTTCTTTGCACAAAGTGTACAGTCACATATGTCATTGCTACATCACCCGTTTTATTCACGCTTATATCTGTTCTTCCTTTTAGGACTTGATCTAAGTGGCTGTTTGGCATCACACAGGAGGGAACTTACATTCTGCGGCCTATATGTGCACAGCTGCACTACTCTACATTTTTGTACGTTTAAAGTCATACCCTTTTCCAAATGCCAGCCTTCCAGAATTTGTTTTTACAGAGCTTATGTGATGGAAATCCCAATCTTAAGTTAAATTTAATAGGTTTCAGATAGGCATTTGGGATCGGACACTAGTCAGTAACTAGCATGATAAGTCTAGCCTATTTTTGGTGCAGACTGAATTCTATCAGTGCACCGTGATGGCTAGCCAGCCAGCATGGTGAAAACATAGCGAACTTGACTGACAGAATTCAATCCGCACCAAAGATAGGACTAGTGTCCAATCAAAAGTATCTTATGAAGTCCTAGAGGAGGTCAATCGCAAATCCGAATAGCTCAGTGGTAACGTCGCTGACCGCAGCACTGGGTGATGCGTGTTCGAATCTCGGAAGGGACATGAGTTCCTTCAAGGTTGCAGATACGCCTTGCCGACTGGTGAGTACCAACAAGCACGAAACCTAGCTACAGGGTTTCCTGCTGACTGCCTCCAACCATCTAATATCAGATAGGCATAAAAGCCCTTAAACATGCGCTAATTCTGATTTATTGCGTAATCGTGCTCATCATTTCCCTTATCGTACAACTTGACTGCAGGTTCAGATTCCGTTATGCTGTAACTTCGTTCCAAGTATTGAAAACTCGGCAGCAAAAAGAGCGAGACACACTCAAGTGGTTCATCCTTATCTTACTAACTCAGCTACTAGATACTTATGGATGTTATGACCTAGTGGAAGGTATAAGAAGAGATAAAACGGGTTTCTACTAATTTCTTTAACTTTTGAACACCATACTAAAAGGGTTAGATTTGGCACGAGGTCATTAGTCAACGCGAGCTCTTTGTAAACGACATGCTCTTTCCTCTCTTACCGGAAAATACCTATTTTGTGAATTACCTGATTGGGAAAACTGATCTACCTGGTCGGCGAATTAAATTCAACCATTACTCTTATATTAAACCTCTGTCTGGTAAGTTCGGCTGTTTCGAGCTACTGCTAAAGCTCCAGGGGCTACATCTGTAGCAGCATCTCCCTCACTCATTCAGATAAACAAGACTTGTTGGGCTACCATGCGATTGCTGTGAAGCCAAATAACCAAAAAGTACTAGGTAAAGTTGAAAACATTTTATTTTCCTATTCCTACAACCCATCAGCCTCTTTTTTCTTGTTCTAGTGGGCAGATACCATTGCTATCTCTTATTCATATATAAGCATAATTTAGGGTAATTGTAAATTTGGCGGTTAAATGTAGCCTCAAGAAAGCTCTAAAACACCATATTTTCTAGTGACAAATTCTTCAGCCAGAGAAGGAAATAACCCAGGGATCTGAACTCCATCTGGCGTACTAGTTCTTGAGACCCATGTACATATCCCCTGCTCTGATGCCGTGCCTACATTACCACAGTCCAACACTGAAACTGCACACGCAAAACCAATTGGACGTGGTACTACACCTGTTGTAATAAAAACAAAACCTATATGATAAACACTAATCAATGTTTTATTTTCTATACTTGCAGGAAGATACTCGGGAGTCAATTATCTGGAGCAGGAGATACAACAATTGTAGAACTTAAACATTAACGACAACCAGAAAGACCGTCAGGCTCTAAGACTGGACTCCTGCACTTTTTAGAATTGATTCTCGTGGAGAAACGTTCTCTGCACAGCTGGTGTTCTATCTTCAATATCTGTGTGCCTGCTGCTCTGCTTGTTACAATGTATCCGTAGGAAGCCACTGTGTGACACCGCGGAACTGAAAAGAAACGCTTGAGGCGTTATAAGACCTAGAAAACATCTTTTAGAAAAGAAGGTGACTGCCAGGCCTGTAAAAAACCCACACTGAATCTGAATGAAACATTTGCAAACGATGGTTGCACAACTGTTGTTATGAAGGAGTGACGAAACTACACTGTGAGTTTATGCGAAATAACCTGTGCCTGTATTTCTGGTGCATTCGCACACTTTGGTGCACTGGCCCTGTCTCACACAGCCTGTCCTGGATAACGGAAACTTCACGCCAAGTTTCTGTCTCGATACAGTCGCATAAGGCCTTCTATCTGATAACAGAACACCATCTAAACCTGGTAAAAACCATAAAAAGTGAACTCCAGCCCGATCGACTAGGAATATCAATCTTCGAAAACTGAAGACTCTCAAGGTTACTCTCGGAACTGCAGGGGAAGACGGAATTTCCAAAACACCACTTGCATCCCCTAGCAAGAATGGCAACATAACAAAGACTAGTTAGACCCTGGTGAAGTTTGAATTTACCCACCCTACGAAGTAGGAAAAGCAGCTAAAGACCAAACCTAAGTCTGAGGTCAGTCGAATGAACTCCCTTATTCTGTTTAATATGTCAGAGAGCAATAGTAGTCTGCTTGAGCGAAGGTCTCTGCATGATCAAGAACACCGGGCCAATTTGTGCATTAGGTTAGGGTTGTGCAAACTGTACAAGAGTATTCAGGCACCTCAATGTAAGCCACCTTCGTTATGGGCTCCGCCAAGGAGGCTGAAAGAATACCATTACTAGCTCAAATACTAGCTATCGACAGGAGTTCCGACATGAGAATAGGAAATGACAGACCATGGGAGGGAGGGATTCACTGGAACTGATACCCTCTACCTCCATGGTCATACATGGTGTTCTGGAGCTGGAGACTGACACTTGTGATAAACTCCTGCATGACGTACAGCAATGGAGATGGCTTTGACCTCAGTTGGCCCTATGTACTTTGGGAGCCATCTCGATTTTCCGGTTACTTCATCCCACTCATCTCACATTGATTAACTCATCGAGGCTATTAAGTGTCAAATTAAACTCTCAGGAACAGTTGGCTCTAGTACTTCAACGGTGGTACGAGACCAAGGGTAAAGTGTGTGTGTGTGTGGGGGGGTTCAGATCCAACGCTGAGAGAGCAAAACTCAAACCGTAAAGATGCAGTAGCTTGAATGACAGTCATTGTCACCCAATTGTCCTACCGGAATCCAAGGGAACAGGTTACAACAGGTTGGTTCCATGGGAGAGCCAGCAGAAAATGTGCTGTCGGCCAACCCACAACACGCTGAGGTGGTGAGATTGACTGTCAACTGCCTGTAGAGGAATGTGAGGGGGTTAGATGAAAAGTAGGCAAACTCAGAAACCTAGAGTTACACCTACACCTCAAAATAATAATCCTGAATGAAGCCTGGCTAACACCCCCACTACTACCGACAACGAAATCGGTATAAGTGACATGGTTCTGGTTCAGCGAAACAGAAATAAAAAGGAAGGGGGAGTTGCCATATATTTTGACAAGCAGTTTAAATGCGTATGTACGATGGACCCACAATTTGCTGAACTCCCAGACTACATATGGTGTCATTTCACAGTAGGCCGCACCAAACATTTACTAGGTGGCATCTACCTATCACACACCTGTGGGGCAAAGCACAACCAGCTACTGCTCAGCACCATCACAGGGCTGTGGGACTTGGGCTATAACCAAATCACCATAGTTGGAGATTTCAATGCCGCATCACCAAACCTTGGCTTTGGGTATGCTCAGGGAAAATTAGGTCGAAATCTAATTTAAACTGTTCAAAATGCAGGACTGACTGAGAATGTTGGAGACAACACTAGGTGGGGCCCTAGTGGAGAGTCATCGAAACTGGGTTGTATCCTAACTAGTGGCCAGCTACTTGTCGAAAATGTCGAAATCGTCCCCCGTAGGAAGTAGTGACTACACAGTCATGGGGTTTGACCTTGTTTTCTGTAAGCGCCTACAGTGGGACACTACGCGACCATATCTGTGCTATTACAAGGCTGACTATGCCGGAATGTGAAGGCGTTGGTCCGACGCAGAATGGCCCATGGAATGGCCTAGTTATCTGTGAATGAACATTGGGAAGTGGTTAAATAGGTTATCCACACATCAGTCACTCGAGTCATAACATAACCGAAGAAGTGTGCCGACGGTTGAAGAGAGATTGGCAACGTATACTGCAAGCAAAGCGGAAGGTTTATGCAAAAGTCAGACCGACCACGACGCATACCTGGAACTCAGGAACCGGTGCAACGCGAGTCAGGAGTGACAGGAGGTCATTCCAGGCCAACCTTGCCAAAATACTCCTAGGATACCCCAAAAAATTGTATCGATTCACGTTGGAGAGAAAACCAACCGACCATGGGGCATGTGCCTTAGTAAGTCCAAACGGTTGATATCTCAGTAGCCCGGAAATGGCTGAAACATTCGGGTTAGCCTTCGCCAAATGGTTAAACAGAAACTTAAGTGGTCAAAATACCCATCAAAATTTTCCAAAAGAAAGGATACTGAACAAAGAGTGCTCTTATCTATGGCTTCATCATCAGGCTGTGCAGTTATATATACATTATAGTGAATGAATGAATTAGTGTTATGAACAAAATGAATGTTTAAATAACATCGAATCAATAATATTGATAGAATACATCTTATTTTATCTTGATGCTATTGAGCTGTAATCTATCAATATTATTGGTTCGATGTTATTTAAACACTAATGTTGTTCAAAACACTAATTCATTCACTCACTATAATGTATATATAACTGTAGAAACTTAGGTATTACTAACATGGGCCAAAATGGTGGCACTAATACTTCACCGTGGGGAAACCCAGTGGTTGCTCTACAAAAACCCGGCAAATGCACTAGAAAATCTACAGAGACTCACATCTGTAAAGTCCTCAGGTTGTGACGACATCGGGCCATCAGTGTGCTGAACCTCACTGTAGGCCCTCATGCGACTTGTTCTAACATTCTATGGATTCAGGGAAATTGCTGAGGGAGTGAAAAAGAGTCATCCTTTCTTCGATCTTCAAGGGTGGTAGTAGATAGGCAAAGTGCCAGTAGTTATAGATCCCAATGGTACCAAAATACTGGAAAGCACAATTGATGATCACATCAGGGAGCACCTTGACAGGAATAATAGACCGTGACCTCCTATGCAAAGTAACTCAAGCAAAAACAGGTGGAATGCTTCTGTCATGGTTGAAGGACTACCTAGCTGAAAGGGAATTCCGCACCAAGGTCAATCCAGTCCGATCATCCTGACTTGTCACCAGGACCGTCGCTGGATTCTATCCTAGGACCACTGATATTTTTGATTTTTATCAATGAACTACCATGCTGTCTCAGCTGCCCGACTCTTCTATACGTTGATAGCGTAGAGATTTGGAGTGCAAAAGTGTTCGGGAGACTCAGAGCTGAGGCCAGTGGTATGGCTTTCAACCTGAAAAAGTGCAAAGTAATGAAATTACACACCTGTAGGCTACAGAATGCAATTTACACAATGTGCAATGAACGCTTATACTGCATATTGTCAAAGCGTGACTTAGGTCTAGCTCTCACGGAAAAACGGAGACACGCGTGAATTACACGGGGGACGTAGTGATGGCAAATGTGGTGATACATTTTACACAAAGACAGGTGCACTCACTCCTGAGCTCTTCCTAAGGTTGTACAAAACACACGTCAGACCACACCTTGAAGCGCATATTATCACTGCACCCCATTGCTTAAAAGAGACGCAGACCTCTTGGAAAGAGCTCAAAGACAGGCGACAAAATGAATGGTTGGTCTCCGAAATAAACCATATGATGAAAGGCTGAAGAAATTAGGCTTATTCACACTTAGCTACCATCGGCTTTTGGGGGATTTGATTATTGCCTACAAGATAACAAATAACCATAATCACCCAAACAAAGGTGTTCTGCCGCTGAGTAGGTATGGGCTTCCTCGTGGAAATAGAAGGATAGCTCACCAGAGGGCAAGGACCCGGGTGCGCTCCCACTTCTTTTCACTGCTGGTTTGCCGACCCTGGAGCTCCTCACCGGCAGATGTACTAATGGCACAGTCTGCGGACACCTTTAAGCGAAGGCTGGACAGTCATGCAGCAACCCAAGGACTGTGTCCAGATGGCCTATTCCCTTAAAATCCTGTACACCATTCATGGGTAGACAACTAAATTGATCATTTTGCTTTTTTACATTCTCTCTCGTCTTATTCTCCTGACTATTCCAACTACTACACTTACACTTATTATCATTATTATTAATTTTATATACATTTATATATATTTCAACTTAAGACTTAATTGGCTGTCTGCTTTCTACAATTTCTTTGCTTATTTTTCTGCCTTTTAGTCTGAATAACCTACACTAATTTTATCTGTTATTATTATCTCTTTTCTTTTGACGACGATACTGGAGGACTTACTGCTGAAAGGATCAACTCCATTCACAATGGCAACACAGTCTTACACACTGCATACTGCAAACAACATATAACAAATCCTAAGACTACTTTTGGGGTCAACCAAAACTACGACAGTCGAGTGGCGGGACGAACTACGCAGAAGTTTACCGAAAATCATGAACCTTTACCTCACACTCAAGAGGCGATCACAAAGAAATCAAATTGGTTCATACTAGCCCGTAAAAACGATACTGTATATTGGAAGTAAATTTCTGTCCAAACAAACGTGAACCAGCTGTAGTTTTTTATGAATGTTTCGGCTGACCCTGGCGGAATTTCAATCAAATGGCCTTGCTTCGCCAAATTGTTAGAAAGACCGTATAGCCAGTTTCAAGGTCGCGATGGATTCCTTCGTCTGCTGGTTATTTGTTTTCGTGAATTGTTTTCCTATTGAAATTTAACGGTTATTTTGGACGTTTTGCTTATTTTGTAGTGTGTAGGTCAGTTTTTGTCACTGGATGCTACTATTAAGCTTATTTTTTAGCCTGAAGTTCCCGTTTATTATGCAGGTAGTTAAGGATTATGGTTAAACTTGCATTCATTGAGCTAACTCACGCATACTATGCTAATATAGTAACATTTTTAGTAATTAAACTCTGTAACTGTTCTGCTGTTGTTTGATTATTCACTCAAACTGGAACTGTGCGCTGGTTTATCAGCATGACTGACTGTAGTTCACCACCTTGCTCTTCTTCTACAAATTTCCAGAAGTAGCTTATCAGCCTTATTGCAGCCTTCCTAGCCCAGGTTCAGCATCCAGTTTTCCTTTTTAGGAAGGATCAGAGTTATTTCAGTAGATACTGGGTTCACTTCTAGAGGATATATCCTCTCCAGTTGGGGAGGCATTCTTTGATTCGGAATGATATTTCCTGTGTGTGATCATTTCTTGAAGGTCAACTTTTGAAAGACTTTGACTTTGTCTATGACATCTTCACTTCGCCAAGATTACTGTACCTACTGTCCTTAATCTTGTTGATATATCAATATTGTTAGCATTATAACGCTGCTTCTGATTTATTTGTCAGTTTTTTTTTTTGAGGGCTTTATGTTGTTCTCTTTATCTCTGTAGCACTCAGTCTATGTGACATAAGTGTTGATGTCCAAGAGGGATAACTACTGCTCTGCTGCACAGCGTGTTTGTGGAGTGTTAAGTAGCCTGGTAAATATTTGATTTAATATTTTGCTTTTAGTCGAAAGATAATCGCTTGGTTCGTGTTAATGATAAGCTGGTGGATAAGCTGTCTAAATTCTTGAGTTACGGAACACAGCATATTCAAGTAAAATATTTCAGTTAAGTGTAGTGTAAGGTTGTTTGTGATTTTGACCACACGTTGTCCAAATACTGCCATAATTCGGAAAAAGTCCCAGTTTGTCATGGTAACTCGTTACTCACCTTATTAGTTCGTTATTCATGTAAGGTTTGTTCATGAGACATCCAAGAATACCCGAAGTGTCTAGAAGGCGGGTAGGTTCGTTACATATCTGGTTATTGATCAGCTTGAGGAATTATGTGAACTTTACATGCCACTTGGGAGCTCTGGGAACTTAAGCGAGTCGGAGAAATGTTATCTGATGATGGAATTTTGGAAGCTTGCTCACAAAACACTGGTTGATGGAAATATATATCGAAGTGATGTCGACTGTTGCGCTTTAGAAGGCGGAATAGTACTTAGGTAAGTACTTCATTCAAAGTTGTTTATTCCTAGTTATTTTATAATATGTCATGTTTCAGATTTTCGATTTCCTAAATGGAAGAAAATAATTAATCCATACATATTTCGTTAGTATGCCGAATTCATATTAAAGAAAAATTGCTTAAAGGCATTTTCGTATTTGCATTTTTCTCAGACAAGTATTAGTGTTATAATGTACAGGTTCTTATCGCTGAATAGATCATTACAACTCGAGTAAATTTCATTTTAGTAAACCGCGAATGCCTGACATTCATTTTTAAATAGCTTTGGAGTTTCAAAAGTATTTCGCTATAAAACTAATCAGTCAGAGCCCAAAAATACGGTGATTTCATTGGGCAAAACCCTCTAAATCCTTGTCATTTTTGAAATGGATCTTATCAAAGATAGTGTTGTTTTTTGGAAAATGAATTCAACTCAAAATGTTGTGTATTGATACGCTCGTGTCTATCATTCGATGCATGATTTCTAAGGTTGATCATGTGGTATCAGTTGTAAATAAATATACGTTATTAGCCGGAAAAAAAATGTTAATAGTGTTGTCACCGAAGCTGACCTAGATAATTTCTTTAGAATTTTAGCTGGGATTATTAGTTGTAGACAAAAGTCTCAAATGTAGAGTAAAGGCAATTGCATGTATCTTCTCAACCGAAAGGGAAGCGACGAGTTGGTCGTCCAAGGGTGACTTGGAGGAGGTCATGTGAAGAGGAGATGAAAACGTGTGGGCAGACATGGAGCCAAGTGAAGACTCTAGCAGAGAACCGAACGCAATGGAGACGCATGGCTGAAGCCCTATGTTCCTCTAGGAATTAAAGGATAAAATAATAATAATATAATAAAACAAATACACATACTAACTGGTTTCCAGTTTGTAAGTAGTCTAAAATGTCAATTGTTTCGCCTTCAGAATGTACTAAATCGCTTGGTAGTAAGTCCCGTTCATTACATTATAATGGGGTCCATATTATGATAGGGAAAACTGAGCTATCTTTAGTCTGAAAGCCAAGAGTAGTAGACTAGTGAGTCACAACCTGGTACTAATTGTTGCTGGAAAATAATACCTAACGGTACATTTGGCGTCTGAAGTCATGTTGTTTACGTATTCAACCAGTTGGCTTAATACTTTAAACGAACAGTGTTTCATCAACCCGAGGTATTAATCATTTGTGCACCATTCATCAAAACGTGGATAGATTATAATTCGATTAATATCACTTAGATTTATTAGTATTATATTGATTACTTCGCATTATTTTTAATTAGTCTTATTGATATAATCATATTTATCATTAGGGATAATGCTGTCGACTTTCTGAATAAATTGGCTGATTTGAATATACCACTGATTATTTTCTCTGGTGGTATAGGCAACATTATTGAAGTACTTTTATCGTCACTGAATATATCGCTGGATAATGTTCGTATTGTTTCAAACTTTATGGACTTTAATGCTGAAGTAAGAAGTAGTGATTTATTATATGTGAATGCATATACTTTATGTTTGTATGAGTTAAAATGCCTTGGTTAGCTGTTAGGTTTTAGCTATTGCATAGTAAGTTTCAGTATGGTGTATGCATCGACAAATACACAATCACAAAACATCACAGAGTTGTGGCTTATTAGTTAAGACACCACCTTAAGACTACTGGGTCACTGTTTTGAACCCATCTTCACCTTCTGTTGTCTGAGCATTCACGTACTATCAGTAGCTCTTGCACATTGTGTGCAACTCCATGTTACTGTAGTCAATCGTTGAGGACCACCAGAAATTTGTTTTACGCAGAACATATAAAGAGAATACACATTAAAGCCTGAGAATTAATATTTCGAAGAGTTTACGTAAAAATGACATATTTCACAACGAAACAAGTGAATCCCCTAGACTGTTCATAAAGGTATCAGTTGTTGAGACGGAAAAGGTTTCCGAAACATTCACTATTTGCCATTAAAGGTGTTCAAGAGACTGCATCATATTCGCCAAATAGAGTTTTATCATCTGTGCACTATATTTCAACTAATTTGTTTCCCACGGGAAAGCCAGTCGTTTTGAATTTAGATGTAGAAATAAGTTCCTCTTCCTGAAACTATGAACTAAGATTTTAGAAACTATACTGGTCAGGCCAATTCTTCTGTGGTTATTACCAGGAAATTTTTCTCGTTCCTTAAAGAATAAGCTAATCAGCTATTGATACCAGTTAAACGGAATCACTTCCTAATTTAGCTAATAATACTGGTCTATTTTCCTTAAATAACTCTGGGTATTTGTGAGTTACCCTCTTTCGTTTAGGGTTACTGAGAACTTCCTCAACATTTTCAAGCGTTGGGGGCTGCTTTTCAACGTGTTATTGATTCAGTTTAGTTTAGAGTACTTGACAGACGACTATTGGATATCTGTCTTTAACTACAGGCTAGCAGATCTGTTATTCTTCATACAATAACTGTTAGTCATCACGTAATTCCTAAGTATGTTTGGTTGGTGAATTGTATCTATCCTGCTACTTACAGAATGTATACTAGTCTCGGGAGCTATTATCATTGTATTATTGTTCTCAAGTATTGTTTTGTTCTCTTGCCACACTAGTTAGCAAGTTGATACTCACATCACTTGTAGTTTATTCAGTATATCTGTTATGCTATATATGACTGTTCAACATTATCTATCACATAACATCATTACAGGGTCGTTTAGTTGGATTTCAGGATCCTGTTATTCATTCGCTGAATAAAACATACAAAATAATACAAAATTCTGAATATTATGAGACGGTTTTATCAAAGCGGATATGTACTTTGCTTATTGGAGACTCAGATAGTGATGCAAATATGATTGATAACAAACAGAAATTTTCTGGTGAACAGGCCATTGTTATTCGTATCGGATATTTGAATGAGAAAGTAAGTCATTTAAACTATAACTCCTTATGGGTATCATTTGAAAAGATCTATTCTGTCATATTTTAATTGTAAGCTTTTATTGGAGAGAAAATGTAGGAGTTATTACTTTTTTTTCTGTCTGGGGAGCATGTCGCTCTGTATTATTATTATTATTATTAAAACACAAACTTAGTATTTTATGGGCCCCAAGTGATGCTTCAAACAAAATCTCATAGTTTGTGCGAGGGTTGGGATACTGCTCAGGTGCCTAAATCGAAGTAGGTGGTTGTCTTAGGAGGTCACCCCGAGCCTTTCACTTGAATTCTGATCCACATGCCAGTAAAGCGGTGTCAGGGTCTGGGTTCCCATGGTTTCCGGGAAAACAGGTTCACACGCCATTCAGTCTTTTCGGATCCTGAAGCCGATGTAAGCTATTGGCTCGGAGTCAGGGTTTTACAGCTCTCTTAGGTAGACCTGCATGTCCACGAGTTCGGTTGTAAGCGCTAGACGTTTGTATTCGTTCTTTCACTTCTGTAAGGAATACCCCCGCTGCGTGTAGGTAGTGAATATGAATTACCAGACAGAGGCTATGGATGCGTGGCCGCACGTTGACCGCTTCAATTACTTGGGAAGTACCTTCAGCCCCAACGGGTTGATCGCCGACGAAATCTCAGCACGAATACAGAGGGCTAGGTTCGCATACGCCAGTTTACGCCGTCTCTGGCGTAGACACGATATCCGACTATCGACCAAAGGGCGTGTGTACTGCTCATCAGTCCGCTCCGTCCTCCTTTATGGCTGTGAGACCTGGCCATTGAGAGCAGAAGACATGAAAAGATTAGCTGTCTTCGATCATAGGTGTCTGCGTTCCATCTCCCGTGTGAAGTGGTATAATAAGGTGAGCAATATTGAGGTTAGGCGTCGAGTGCTAGGTAAGGCGGGGAAATCAATCGATGAGACTGTGAAATTACATCGACTGAGATGGTTGGGACATGTGTTACGTATGCCTAGTCATCGCCTTCCTCGACGGGCAATGTTAGCTGATATAGGACCAGGCTGGAAAAGAGCTAGCGGCGGTCAAACGAAAACTTGGCACCAGTCAATGAAATCCACAACAGTTAGTCTAAGCCACGTAGGGAGATGTAGACTTCCTGGTTGGGGTCCTCGGGACGGTAAAAACCAATGGTTGGAAACAATTGGTGACATGGCTCAAAATCGTTCTCAGTGGCGCAGATGCATCCACTCCTTGTGATTTATGATTTCCGATGAAACTATATTGTTCTTCGTTACTACTATTCCTTTGTCTCTAACCCCTGTTTACTGTCTCTTTTTTGCATTTCTCTTACATTCTTCTCTTGCTTTGTGTGCTACATGGGGGGAGTGTGGCGACTTGAACTGCCGCACATCAGTGCAAAGTTCTATGTCGAAAACAGACAGACAGACAGGCCGCATGAGGACATTTTCAGTGGAAGACTTAAGTTTACTCACTCTCGGCCGTACTAGGTCGTTTGTGGAGGCTTGTTCTCAATAGTAATGGAATAAGTAGTATTTGGAGTGTCATTTTAAATATACCTTAGCATTATGTTTTGATTTAATTTTATGGAATTGTTGGAGTTTGTCACTGAGATAAATATGCTATTTTAAAGTTTTTATAAACGTTCTCTTATGAGATTTGTTGGTATTATTTGGATTTCTAAGTATATGAAAGAAAGCTATCTCGTCTTTTCCCACTTCTGTACATAAGTGAATGAGTATGACATTTGATCAATAAGTTTGATGCATTACGTTGATATAACTATTCCTTACTATTCAGAGATTCTTCCCGATTGTAATCGGTTTCGAGGGAGTTTCACATAGTTGTAGGGCATTTGGTCACATTCTGGCTTTTTTATTTACCTTTTCATCAGTCCCAAATGTAGTCAATTATTGTAGCTAAATTCTTTAGTTTAAGAGTAGTGTGTCATTGTTACATTTGATGTATATAAACTCTTCAGTATATCCTACCAATGTATTTAATTCAGAGCCAATCATACTAATCAGATTTATTAGCTGGCTAGATTTAGGTTAATATGAACATTGAAAAACTGTTCTATGGTTACCAAGAGGCTGGGCTGATCAGTGCTGTTCCGAGACTGGTATCAGACATGATGGAGAAGATTTGTAGTTCAGGTGGATGATTTAGATGTGGTTGTGTTCTCTGAGCTGGATAGTTTATTTGCGAAGCTTTCATTGTCCTAGTAGGCAACATCTTCACCGCATACTTCAATTTGATGAAGTGAGCTTTTAGATTTCTCCACGGGTAGTTTATTAGTCATCTCTCCTGGTGACCTTGAGCGTTGTGATTGGTTGTTTTTGTGTTTCCACACCCTGTAGGTTACTTGTATTGGAACTGACTGTTCCATTGACTTGAACTTTGACCCTTTGTGTGTGAGATTTCCTTCTTATTGGTTGGTAAATTTTGTCTATCTGGATGTGTCTATTGATCGACGATTCACTCGGATACCGGTAAGCCTCCTAAGAATTCTCTAGCATTTCTGGTGTTTCCTCTGTCTAATATTTGAACGTTGGATGTCCCAGTCGAATTGATGTCCGTGGTTGTCTGTATGTAGTGACATGTGAGAGTGGATGTCGTGGTTGTTGACGGCTAGCTTATGCTCTTGGATACGAAGACGAAGGCGATGTCCACTTTGGCCAATGTAGTGTTTTACGCACTTGTTCCAATTTATTTCATAGATGATGTTGTTTTTATCTCCTTTCGTTGTTGAGTCTTTTGGTTGACGCACGACTGGCTGAGTGAATTGATTTTGTTGGTTTGTGTGCGATGTGAATTCCTAAAGGTTTGAAGAATGTTGCAGTGATTTCTGAGATGTCGTTTATATATGGTTGTGCGTTTTTCTTTGTGGGCCTTTGATTGGATAGGTTGGCTTGGGGGTATATGTCTTTTGATGAAGTTCCGTGAATATCCCGTGGTATCATTATGTGGCGAAAATTCTTTTTTTTTACAGCAGTCTTCATTTATTTTTACTTGTTCATTTTCAAATGGATAATAAGATTTATGATTTTAGACACACTGACAAGTTTTATAAAATGAGGTGTCGTATAAATATACTATTACCTTGTACATTTTCAGTGCTTAGAAAAGAAGTTAGTTAAAATTCATACTGTCATATGACGTATTGCTATTAAGCAATATAACTGTAAATAAGCTGTAAGTCGGGTGTAATGTACAATAAGTTATTAGGTTACATTTTTTAAAAGCCGAATTATGTGATGCGATATGATAAAATGTCACTTACTAACCAACTGACAGTCGAGTGACAAGGCTTGCGGTTCATTATCCTTTAACCTGGTGGATTCAAATAACGCTCTAACTTTTTTCACCTGAGAAATGGATTAGTTTTGTGTCCGTTTACATATCGCATGTTACTCACTACGAAATACACGAGAGGCCTATACTAGTTAACTATTTTTCACTGTTTTATTAATATCAATTGATCGAGTCAATGATATACCCTAATTTATCTGAAGTTCAATAGAGCGGAATTATGCTCCTGTCCATTCCAAGCAAAATACTAAGCCGCATCATCCTGGAGAGAATCAAACATGCCCTAGATGAAAAACTTCGACCGGAACAGGCTGGATTCAGGAGAAACAAGTCATGCATTGATCAGATCGCCACATTACGGATCATCATTTAACAAAGCTTGGAATGGCAGTCAGCTCTCTATCTCAACTTCATCGGCTTTGGAAAGGCCTTCGACAGCGTCGATCCCGAAGTGATTTGGAATCTACTTCGCTACTATGGAGTGCCGCCAACAATTATACATCTCATCCAACAGTTGTACGACAATGCTGCATGCCAAGTAATCCACAACGGGAAACTTACGGAATCCTTCGAAGTGAGGACAGGAGTAAGACAAGGCTGCTTACTATCGCCAATGATTTTCCTGATTGCAGTAGACTGGATAATGCGACAGACAGATGGCAATGAGGAAACAAGCATAAAATGGACTGACACAAGAAAACTTGGAGGATCTGGACTTCACCGATGATGACATAATTCTGTTTTCCCACAAACTGGAAGATATGCAAGCGAAAAGCAACAAGTTGGCAGAAGAAGCATCAAAGAAAGGACTTCAGGTGAACATAGATAAAACAGAGGTAATGAAGATTCCTGGACAAGAACAACAGCAACAGACAACGATCAGCATAAATGGGAACAACCTCTTTTACCTACCTTGGAAGCATCGTTTCAACTACAGGCAAACGGAACTGACGAGGATATCAAAGCAAGAATCGGAAAAGCAAGACAAGCTTTCACTACTCTCAAGTCTGTATGGAGGTCAACAGCACTCGGCATCAAAAATAAGATCCGGATTTTCAACTCCAATGTGAAGTCAGTCAGTGGTACTATACGGATCAGAGACTTGGCGCGTCATAAAGAGCATCTCAAACAAACTACAGACCTTCATTGACAGTTGTCTTCGCTCAATACTCAAGATTAGATGGCCGGCCAGAAAAGATCAGCAACAGGGGTCTTTGGGAGCGAACCAACCAGGAACCGATTGTGAAACAAATATGCAGGAAGAAATGGAGATGGATTGGTCAAACTCTGAGGAAACCATCAAGTGACATCACTAGACAAGCCATTGCTCAAGTGGAACCCAAAAGGGAATCGACGAGTTGGTCGTCAGTGTGAGGGTGACTTGGAGGAGGTCATGTGAAGAGGAGATGAAAACGTGTGGGCAGACATGGAGCCAGGTGAAGACTCTAGCGGAGAACCGAACGCAATGGAGACGCACGGCTGAAGCCCTGTGTTCATCTAGGAATTAAAGGGAATAATAATAATAAATAGAGCTTATCGTTATCTGGACGTTTAACCGATAGCTGGGCATTGAACTATTTAAAATTCATGGTAAATGTTGGATGGTAACAGTACTTTTTACTCTCAGCTATTGATCAAATTTAGTTGACAAATTTCAATTAAGAAAGGGAACAGACATTCAGTTTTGATAACAATTATCATTGAAATCATATCACAGTGAAGTTGAAAGCATTAACAAGACCCAGAAATAAAACATCACGCAGATTAGAAGCTGATAACTAGTTTATTTGAATCAACAACCAAAACATAATGTATGAGTTACGTAAGAACTCATTGTATTTTTTCTTCATTTTCTTCACAGGTCGATGAGAGAATGGAACTATTCAGTTCACTTTATGATATTGTTCTTGTTAATGATGAAACTTTCGATATTCCCCTGGTTATTTTGTCGTCTATTTTTAATACTGACAAATTCCTTAAAAATAATGAAGACAGTAATGCTAACAACGACAACAACAACAACATCAACACATCATAATTGTCTTGTAATATTTCGTCAATAGTAATTTTCTAATTCATCTTTTCATTTTTATAATAAATACTAAAAAAAGTAATCACTTGTTCTTGTTCAGCTTGCAAAATAGTCCGCAAATCGGACAAGTGGTGGTATCGCCATGTGCTCTAAGGAGCCTAATTTCACATAATGGGTTCCGGGTTCAAATTCTCCTTCTAATTTTACCCACGTTAACCTCATTCAGTAGGTCTTCGCTGAATGCCTCTTTTATACGACAGCTATGTGATGATACCATATGCCAAGTGATTCACAATGGAAAACTCAGTGAAGATAGGAGTAAGACTTGACTGCCGGCTATCACCAATGATGTTCCGGATTGTGGTAGACAGTTATGTGAAGCAGACTGTGGGGAATGAGAAGACGAGCATATGTTGGACAGACAAAAATACTCTGGAAGATCTGAACTTCGCCGATGATTAATATCCAATGTTGCACAAGCTCGAAGATCTACAGTGAGAACTAGCGAGTTAGTAGAAAAGATAAGTCTTCAAGTGAATATAGAGAAGACAAAGGTGATGAAGATGCCTGACCATCAATGGGAGAAATATAAAAGCAGTAACCTCTTTCACTTATCTAGACAGCAATTTTTTAAATATGTGTGGCGGTATGGATGAAGATGTCGAAGGAAGGATAAAAAAAAGCAAGATAAGCATTCTTTACTATGAAATCAGCGTAGAAGTCTACAGCACTCAGTATAAGAAAAAAATATTCGTATCTTAAACAGTGATTTCAAGTCACTTCTGTTATATGGTACAGGGACTCGGCGTACGTCACTAAAAGCATTTTCAACAGCCTTCAGATTTCCATCAACAGCTGCCTTCGCTAGCTAGTTACTGAGTATCGTCGGGTAGTTGACCAGAGAGAGTAAACAAAAGAGAATTTCGCCAAAAACCTATTATCCGACAAATATGCTTAAGTAAACAGAGATGGGTTGTACACACGCTGAGTAGACCGTTAAGTGATATGACGCACCCAAGAGACTGAATGGAATGCTAAATGCAAACGACGACTTGGTCGTTCGAGGGTGACACGGAGGAAGTTGTGTGAGGTGGAAATTGATGCTTATGGTGAATCACGAGGTCATCTGAAAACGACTACAGAGAACAGAGTGAAATGACGACGTGCTGCTGAAGACCTATGTTCCACTCGTAACCAAAAGGAATAATAGCAATATATGATTGTGTAGTTTAGTCAGTCATATTGTGTGTGTCACTTACAGAAATAAGCGTAAGTGGTATTGCACGACATATGCAGAGAAGTAATAAACGACTACACTCAACTAAAAGCGAATTAGCGTAAGAAACATGAAGAAAAGCAAATAAAAGGTAGAAAATGTAGTACTTTTCCAGATGTAGCGAATATCTTTAATTTTATATACACACTCACTGTAAAGTATTCAAATAAGTACTTCCATCTGTCTTCAGTATCATTTTTGTTACAGTGCAACATCTAATGCATCAACCAACCGTATTAATCTAAACCTACTGGTGTTGCGTGTGCTATGTAGGTGTAGACTTAAATTGGAATCAACATCTTAGGTAAATGGCTTCAGAGGTAGAGTTGTTTATTCTTCAAATCTGGATTTAGTTTACATTGTGGTTATGAAATAATCTCATTGGATAGCCTTTCATCGTATTGTTTAGCCTTGGGTCAATTGGCATCCAGTCAGAAAAGTTTATTGTGCACTGACCTAGCTGACTTTCAATGCGGTTAGAAATGGGTAAATATGACGCGTTTTAACCTTAATAAAAAAAGTCCGTTCCCGATTCTTTTCTGGCGTTACACTAGTCTCATTTGACTAGTTCAAAAATATCAGAATTTCGTGTGATTTAACTTAATCATAGTATACTAAATATTCCCATAGTAAAATTTAGAACAACACATTTAAGCGAACAATATTGTTTTCAATTAGATCTCATCAGGCTTAACTCTAATATATATAAGTTTACAAATAAAAATTCAAATATAAACCAATCATGGTGTTTTGTCTATAGGATAATACGATGGTGAATATAAATTGTGTAATTAGTCATAATAGTAGTAATGATAATAATAATTATTATAGTAATAATGAAAATGGTCTTATCAATAATAAGGATGAAAAAGTGAGGCAATCTGTGATAACACGAATAATGAAAAACAGCATGATTAAACAAACAACTGTTCAGGTGGAAGTAGTCGATAAAGGCTAGTAAAAACAAATGAACCGATTAAGTAATGTTAGATTGCAAGGGAAGGAAATGAAACACGTTTATAATGAAGATAAGATTAAGGGATGATAAAAAAGGGGATGAAAATACAAACAAAGGGTGGTGTAGAAGTTGTTAGTTGGTTACGTCTTAATAGGCCAACAAGGGAGGGATAAAGGCTGTACGAACTTTTTTGAATACATAATTTGGGTTTAATAGTTCGAATGCCTATTGCCTCAGCTGTGTGTAGTAGACGAATACGAAGTCTATTGTATGTGCATTTATCAATTCAACTGCACCTGCGGTGACAGTTATATTGGGCGTACTACTAGACAGCTTAGCCAACGTGTTAGTGAACATCTCCCATCGTGGTTTGGCAAAGGACAGACAAAAACAATCCGTAGCTCAATTTTGTCACACTTAATTGATAGTGGTCATGTAATCGAGAAAACGAGAGCCTTCAAAGTGATTCATCGTATCCCACCGAATCTTTCCAATAGACGTCGCATTCGTCTACTACACACAGCTGATGCAATAGGCATTCGAACTATTAAACCTAAAGTATGTATTCAAAAAAAGTTCGTACAGCCATTATCCCTCCCTTGTTGGCCTATTAAGACATAACCAACTAACAACTTCTACACCACCCTTTGTTTGTATTTTCATCCCCTTTTTTATCATCCCTTAATCTTATCTTCATTATAAACGTGTTTCATTTCCTTCCCTTGCAATCTAACATTACTTAATCGGTTCATTTGTTTTTACTAGCCTTTATCGACTACTTCCACCTGAACAGTTGTTTGTTTAATCATGCTGTTTTTCATTATTCGTGTTATCACAGATTGCCTCACTTTTTCATCCTTATTATTGATAAGACCATTTTTATTATTACTATAATAATTATTATTATCATTACTACTATTATGACTAATTACACAATTTATATTCACCATCGTATTATCCTATAGACAAAACACCATGATTGGTTTATATTTGAATTTTTATTTGTAAACTTATATATATTAGAGTTAATCATAGTAGACATAATATTCCATACATAAATCTATGTAATAAGGCGAATTTTGAGATGTAAAAGGAATTAGTATATATGCGTAACATGTCCATGCAGATTATTAAAATCATTTATTATCAGCAAGAAAAACAACTGCGCCTAAAATTTGATTCAATGAAGACTTGGCTGGTGGAAATCTTTATTAAGGATTGATTAGATCAATAAAATTACTTCGCTTATTATCGACTTCCGTCTCTCATTTCTAGCCTACCGATTGTCACTGTCTACGGATTAATAGATTCACTGCTGTACATCTAAAAATCGCACTTAGGAAATGGACCAAAAAGATAATATTCACATAATGGACAGGATTCATTCTCTCCATACTATTTATCATATTCCACTGAGTAAAGAATGTGGAAGACATAATTGAAAACAATGTTGTTCAATTTTTCACCCAACTTTGGATATTTTATCGCATTCAGAGGTAGAGATCACATACTCTCATCAAAGACTGTACACATTTGTTGCATCTATCCCTTTAGACGTAGCCAAACACATGCACGAACCAGTCAACGACGAAATTGATGCAGTTCCTCGAGAAAGGACGAAAATCTGCCATCAAACCTATCCAATGATGTCGTATAGCCTGGTGATCTATTTGTGACCATCATCACCTTAATGTCGACAATCATCAGATGAGACAGTCTTTCTTCTTATCATAAATTACCTGAAGTTATTCCAGAGTGTTTAGAAAATGTAAGCAAGAATTTCCAGAATGTTTTGCTGTGCATACCACAACTTCTTCAGGAAATTTTGCAACATCTGTGGTCTGCATACTTATTGTCTCTCTTCTTATATCTGAAATTAGTACTAGTCAGGAACAGGTGTTAATCTGAGCATATTTGTTGACTTCAAACTTTGCTGTCCTCATGACAGTCTGAATGAAAGTCCACAGATATCCTGATGTAAAGTGCATATATAGACGAACTCCACAAAATCAAGTAACCAGGAGAAAACCAAGGCAATGCTTCTCAGGTGTTAGCATACAATCACAATGTTGGATGGGACAGAGTAAAAGTGTTAATTAATTATATGAATTAATATAACTGACTGAATCTTTGTCCACAGAATCAGCAGCCAACGCATGTAATAGAAATGAGACAATGCCAATCCCGAATATGTGAAAAATTGTTTGGCGAACAGAATGTTATTCTTATTGATTTAGTTGTTCCACATTAATTCTCCGGAGGACCGAATACTCATCCTGGCTGTTTCAACAACATAGCTGTACACAGCTTCATCCTGTGGCACAATCGAATCGTCTTCCTCTATCCACCGTTTTATGAATGCCTTCAAATGCTAGTGAACAACAAATCCTTCTTGAAGCATCATCTATTTATTAATATTAAATTACTTTCTACCACACCAAATTAACATGCATAATACGGCATTGTAGCCTGAAATCAGTGAAGACAAAACACTTTGGAAGAGATTCTCGTAGTCTGACTAATCATTTGTTGGAGTATTGGTCGCAAATATATCAGAAGTGCTAGCATCAGTTACATGTATTTCTGATTCACGCGTGACGCTTCTGTTGTATGTCCATGAAATCAGTCATCAGCTGGCTGGATGAAGGACTGAGAGTGAATCTGATTTCGGTGGTTATATTGAATAGAAGTAAACAGATGTAGGGGACATGTAGTCGCAGAAGTAGTATGAAGACTGATGTCATTTTCTATTGGTCTCTTCAGACAACTGAAGCAGTATGATGTGAGAGAATCATAAATTAATTAAGATTATGTATGCGTATACTTCATGAGAGGAAGTGGGATATCACTAGTGGTAGAAAACCACGCGCTCATAATTCG